AATCAAATTGAGGTCTCAAATTCAACAAGTAAAGAGGAAAAAAAGGGCACATGTAAAGATTGCCACAAATGAAGTGATCTCAAACTACAATGTTGGTATACTAAAACTGGTTCAAAGATCCAGGTTTTCAAAAGAGGTGACCTCTAGGGTAAAACCCTATAAGTGGGCAGTCTAAAGCAATCTAAAAAAAGAAGAGAAAAAAATGCGTGATGAAGTAGATTCAAGCAAAAAATGAATGAATTCATTGATCATTGGTTTAATCACCCTTAAAAACATGTTTAAGCCTATATATCCCTTTTTTTCCTCATAATTGTGAGTCATAGCCTACATTACATTCCTAAAGTCCTTTCTAATCATACATGAATTTCTAAGTGGAAGAGAACATCTTTAGATTTCATTTTGCATGTCATGGTTAATATTTTATTTATAATTTTTTAAAACTTTAATGCATGATTTGGAAAAAGAAAAATAATAAAGGAGATTTTAAGATGAAAAATCCGAAAATGGTGTCTTGAAACCAAAGTAGGTCTCAAGTTGAAAACCCGCAAGGGTGGCTTGAATAACAAAATTCGCGCACGGGAAGGTCTTGAGTCAAGAAAACATTATCAATAAAGGCATCAGATTGAAGTTCAATACGATTGAGATTTAATTGTGGCATCTGAAATCCTAAGAGACTTGATGATTTGGTGAAGAATTTTCACCCTTCATGCATTATCACAACCGTTGAGGTCCTCTCGACAAAAGCACAATCAATACATTCTACGACGTGCTAGTTCAAAGGAGTCTATGTCATTGATATCTGGGCACCTATTTGCTCCTTATTGCTATTCTTTCCAAAATGTTTTGCCCTGTACTTGCCCAAAACTCCTTTCACCTATATAAATAAAAAGGTAATTTTTTTCAAAGGTTACTTTTCTTCGCATCTTACATTGAAATTAATTATAGGTAATTTATTCACTTTGAAAAGAGATCATTATTGTATAATTTTTTTAAAAGTGCAAGTATTTCATATGCTGATAGGGTTTTGATACAAGGCCAATGGGAATGGCTCAAATTCCATCTCAAAGGTCCTTTATGTTTTGGAAAAGAATGAGTATTTGGCAAAAACTCTCTCATATTAGTTGTTCCTACTATCCGAATATATTCTTCGTTTGATATTGGGGTTCATAAAAATCATGCATTGAGTGAAGCTCGTTACAAGACATCAAAAGTCCTCAAATTAAGAGAATATCAAGATTAACTAAAGTATATCGAAGATCTCTTTGAAGCGAATAACACATTTATACATACATCTTAGGCATACCTAAGGGCATTGCATTCATAACATTACACTCATGTATGTAAATTTTACATATTTTTTGAGTCAATTTCAATTTCACAACGAATGATACTGAACTCAAAAGACATCCAAGATCGACTTAACTCACAATGGAGGAGTTATCCACAACATAACTTAACTCAACAATGAGGAGCTTTTTTCCATCCATGGTCTTAAAGTCAAAATTCAACTTTATGGTGAAGGATATTAGCATAGAAGAAGACCCAAAATCATCTGTAATTGAACTTAACTCAATAGCGAGAATTTATTTTCTAGCCTAGATTTCAAGTTAGATTTCAAATTCACGATGAATGATATCAGGCTCGAGTCATTCAACCTTGACTTAACTCACAATGGTGGAGTCATCCAAAACATAGCTTAACTCAATGACAAGGAGTTATATTCCAGTCAATTTGGCCTATAGAAGGTCAACAAATTTTTTTATTCAATTTTAACTTCACGACGAAGGATATTGAACTCGAAAGATACTCATGATCAACTTAGCTCGCGGTAGAGGAGTCATTCGTAATATAGCTTAACTCAACAACGAGGAGCTATTTTTTAAGCAAGGTTTTCAATTTAAATTTCAACTTCATGAAAAAGGATATTGGACTAGTATAAGATCTAAAACCGACTTAACTCACAATGGAAGAGTTGTTTGCAATTTAGCTTAAGTCAGCAGTGATGAGCTATTTTCTAGTTAAACTTTTTTACGACCAATTTCAACTTCTCAACGAAAGATATTATGATCGAAAGCAATTTCAAAATCGAATTAACTCTTAAGGGAGTATTCATTAACAACATATATCAACTCAACAACGAGCAACTATTTCCCATTTATCTTAACCCAAATAGGGTTTGTAATTTTTTTAGTCAAATTTTAACTTTACGATGAAGGATATTAGACTCGAAGAACATCCAAGTTAGACTTAACTTACAATGGAGGATTCGTCCAGAAATCTAACTTAACACACAGGGAGGATTCACAAAAAATTCAACTTAAATTAAAAGAGAGGAGTCCATCTCAACATGAATTCCTTGAGAAAAAGAATAAATCAACCAATTAGAAATGAGTCAGATACTCATATGACTTAGCGTCCTTCATATGAATGAGTAAGATCGTCTCTATATTTGATATATTTTAGAGTAAAATCGTCATACAACTTAGCATCCTTCAGAGGAATGAGTAAGATCATTTCCTCATATTGGTATCTTTTAGAGGAAAGATCAAATCAATCATTAATCACAACTTGGCATCCTCAATTCCAAAAGATCAAGATTGTCTTCAAATTCGATGATTATGAACGAAGAAATAAACATGTATTGGCATCAAGAAAACTTATGTCTTTTTTTTTCTTTGCCCTATTTTCGTTACATGATAATAGACAAAGAGGGACAACTATAGACACTAGTTTTCTTCCGAGACTATTTGTATTTTTACTTATATTTGTATTAATTATATATTATCATATTAGTACTAATTTTTACTCTTGATTATGAGTATTATATAATTACATATTAGAATTTGTTGAACCATGTTTTGAGATTTTGAAATACCAAAAGTACATATTTTTTAAAGAAATTTTAAGATTATTTTTTTTACTATGATTTTCAAGTTTATATTTGATTTAACCATTTGAATATAAAAATTAATTTTTAAAGTCAAAAACTCTATCTTTACTCCTTACTCTTTTAAAAAACTCAAGCCATATACTGGAAATAATTTTCAAACATTTTACAAAGGGTTTCAGATTTTAATCGAGTCAAAAATAAAATTTTAACCCTAAAGTATCAATACTTCAAGAACAATACCGATATTGTTATAGTGGTACTGATACATGTATCGATATCAATGTGTAAAAATATACACCATTACCGATACATGTACCAATACTAGTGAATAAAATTACACAGTAGTACTAATACGGGTACCGATACTACCTTTAAGTTTTTTACAAACACGATTCGAGTAGGCTATTTTCATACCGATACTCTCTGAGTGTCGATTCGGGTACCAATACTCTATATGAAGTGTCGATACTCTCCTCTTCTCAACGGTTAGGTTTTTGTAATTAATGCAAGCAGTACTGATACTCCAAGCCCGAGTACCGATATTCAAGACATCTAGGCATGATTTATTGCGGGAAAATTCTTCCCAATGACTCTATTAACTCCCATAACAACCCATATGGCTAGAATTGAATGAGAAGGTATAAAAACACGATTCCAAGTTACATGTGAAGACTTTGAGGTATAAGTATTAGTGTTGTGTAAGGTTACACATTGTCCTAAAAGTTTAGAACAAATTAGTGAATTTGTTGAAATACTAAGGTAGTGGATGTAAACTTCATTAAAGAAGTTGAACCACTCTAAAAATCATTGTGCCAATTTCTTACTTCTTTCAAAAGCTTCCAACAACTTTTTAATTTGTCAATTCACCCCTCTTAGCCATTTTTCTTGATCCATTGACTCAACATAATTTTTATTATATAATATTATATTTAGTTTATTATTTATTTATTATATTTAATTACATATTATTATTACTATATATTATTATTAGTATTTAGTATTTTATTACTATGATAAATATTATTATTATTGTGATTATTTATTAATATTAGTTAAATATTTTAGTATTATTTATTAGTTAGTATTATTATATATTATTATGAATATATTAGTATTCATATATGTGGCGATAAAATGAACTTTTCTTTTATAAAATATATCTATTTTGCATGTCCAAGTACAAACAATCCATATACAACTTTTGTCCATAACCCCTTTTTTAGAATCGGTCCATTAGCTCACAATATTAAAACATCCAAGGAAACCGTAGAAGCTTTAAGAGTACGTTGATTCGTGAAATTTTACATTATAAATGAAAATATTTTTTTTGAAATTTTATTCTCACGTTTGGTTTAAAAAATCTTACATTATCGAAAATACTCTTTTTCTAATAGTAACATTTTTTTGTTAAAATAGTAGTAAAGTCATTGCCTCTAAATTTTTAGGTAATCTTACATTTCTACCACTTTGGACAATAATACCTTTAAATTAATAAATTCTTTTTATAATGATCATTTTAAATTCTTATTTTTTATACTTTACTCAAAATTATAAAAATAATAGAGTTTTATTTACTAAACTATTAATAATTTTGAGAATTTAAAATATTTTATATTTTTAATATTCAATATTTTACAATTAGAATTTTATGGGATGAAAAAACTAGTATTATTGTAAAAATGTAATTATTTAAAATAATATTTTACTATCATAATATTATTTTTATATTATATTATATTTTATATAAATAAATATGATACATATGAACATTATTTAAAAATATAAATTCAATATACTAATTATATTAATTACATATTAAATGTAATTTCTCCTCAAAAATTAGATAGTATAACGATTAAAATATTTTTATAAATTTTCATTTAAATATTCATAAATTAATATTAAAGTTTAACTTTAAAAAAATATATCAAAATGTTAATTTGGTAAAATATGCATTCCAATAATTTTATATTCCTTCAACCAAACACTATAATGTTACATTCTTGCTAAACAAACTAAACAAGATAATATAATATTCACATAATGTTACATTTTAGTAACATTATTCCCAAAAGTAATTTTATATTTCCTGAATCAAACGTACCGAATTTACATCGATGCGGTATTTCAATAGAGGTCGGCTAGCGCACGTGTCATCTACGCACCAGCACCTCGTCCTCACACGCACCAGTTTGCCCTCTTACGCGTCGAACGTTAGCCAGCTTTGAAAAATAATATCTTTTGGGGTACTTCTGCTATGTGGCGTCTAAAAAACGGCGTGACCGGTTAAAATTTAGACCGGTTATGTTATATCATTTAACCGAAAATATTATTAAGCACAATAACGTATTGGGTAGCGCTTATATAATGTAATAGGTAGCGTTTATATAATAAAATATGCATTTAACCGGAAATATTATCAAGTACAATAACATATTAGGTAGCGCTTATATAATGTAATAGGTCGCGTTTATATTGACATATTTTCTCATAAAACCGGTAAATTTCAACCGATTACATTGTAAATTGACCTATTACATTATAATTATCGATTTCGATGTTTTTGGGATCGATACAATTTTAAATGTATCGACACTTTATGTGTACACCTATTTTTGCTTTCATTTTGAAAAAAAAGTATCGACACATATTTAAAGAGCTTCGATACATAATGTAGACATATTTACTAATTAACCGGTATATTTTTACCGGTTACATTGTAACTTGTTAATAATTATCAGTTTCATTGTATTAGGATCGATACTTTTTATACATGTATCGACAGTTTATGCGTACACCTCGTCTGGACAAGTGTATCAACACAAATTTAAAAAGTGTCGATACTTTATGTTGACCTATTTTCTCATATTTTTAGCTGTTATATTGTTATCGATCAATACATTTTCATAAAGTGTCGACACTTTTTAGACGCTATAACTTCTTCTCTTTTAAATTCAGAAACTGTCAATACTTATATTATATTATCGACACTTTCAACATATCCGGTAGCGCTTTACCGATTTTGTCATTTTGAGACCGGTTTTATCATATTTTTACCTATTATATTGTTATGGATCGATACATTTTTTTAAATTATCGACACTTTATAGACGCTATAACTTCTTTTCTTTTAAATTCCAAAAGTGTCGATACTTATATTAAAGTATCGACACTTTCAACATATCTAATAGTTATTTACCTGTTTTGTCATTTTGAGACCGGTTTTGTCATATTTTTAGCTGTTATATTGTTATGAATCGATACATTTTCATAAAGTGTCTACACTTTTTAGGCGCATAGCTTCTTCTCTTTTAAATTCCAAAAGTGTCGATACTTATATTAAATTATCAACACTTTCAACATATCCAATATCTTTTTACCGGTTTTTTCATTTTTAGACATCTTTTGTCATATTTTTACCTGTTATATTGTTATAGATCGATACATTTTTTAAAGTATCGACACTTTATAGGCGCTATAACTTCTTCTCTTTTAAATTCCAAAAGTGTCGATACTTATATTAAAGTATCGACACTTTCAACATATCCGATAGTTATTTACCTGTTTTGTCATTTTGAGACCGGTTTTGTCATATTTTTAGCTGTTATATTGTTATGGATCGATACATTTTCATAAAGTGTCGATATTTTTTAGGCGCTATAACTTATTTTCTTTTAAATTCAGAAAGTGTAGATACTTATATTAAATTATTGACACTTTCAACATATCTGGTAGCGTTTTACCGGTTTTGTCATTTTGAAACCGATTTTGTCATATTTTTACCTTTTATATTGTTATGGATCAATATTTTTTTTAAAGTATCGACACATTATAGACGCTATAATTTATTCTCTTTTAAATTCCAAAAGTATCGATAATTATATTAAAATATCGACACTTTCAACATATCCGGTAGTTATTTACTCTTTTTATTATTTTGAGACCGATTTTATCATATTTTTAGCTGTTATATTGTTATGGATCGATTCATTTTCATAAAATTTCGATACTTTTTAGGCGCTATAACTTCTTCTCTTTTAAATTCAGAAAGTGTCGATACATATATTAAATTATCGACACTTTCAACATATCCGGTAGAGTTTTACCGGTTTTGTCATTTTGAGACCGATTATATTGTTATAGATCGATACATATTTCATTTGTATCGACACAAACCGACAAACTAAGTTTACCGGTTGTCAAATTTTTTAATATTTCTTCATGATTTAGACCTACTACATTATTATTACTTAACATTTTCAGTAACGCTCAACCAAATTTATTAAATATATTATAATGTATCCGATACCGTATATTAATAGTATATTAGCCCACCTTTCATGAGACATTCTCTATCTTTTAAGATTTCATCATTCTTGGAAACAAATCATCACAAATCAAATCTTCCACAGAATCAATAGCAAATCAGAACAAAAAAAAAAGGAGAAAACAATATTTTGTTTTATGAAAAAAGATCTCCAAATCTTATTTGTAATAGGAAATTTTGCATGTATAAATTACGGACAGTGAGAATGGGGGAAGATTACAACCATTGTAACTTGCGAATCAAAGATAAAAATAGTGATTTTATTTTGAAAAAAACTTCCATTTTTTCCATTTTTGTTTGCATTAATTCCGAACAAAAATCTGATCGAGGTCTCACGTTGGATCCACAAAAAGAGAGAGAAAGGAAGTGAGAAAAATAAAATGAATGAAAAAAAGAGAGGAAAGGTTCTTTACCTTTTGGCCGGTGGCCTCACCGACGATTGGGACCTCCGTTAGCGAATCCAAACGGTGAGAAGGACAAACGAAAAACCTAGAATAACAAATAAAAAGTAAGAAGATCCAATGGTGGACGATGAGTGATTGGAGAGAGAAAAGCAAACGATCTTGGTCCATTTTGTTGCAATTCGAGAAATTTTGAAAACTCCAACCCCAATCAGAGATGAGGAGACCAAGATGAACTCACCAGTGTAAATTGGGCCCCAACGATCACTATTGATGACCGTAGTCGACGATCGATCAACGATGAAAATATCGACTGTGATGGGTGGTCATTTACAGAGAAGGGAGAGAACATTTTTATTGGAGGGACAGAGAGAAAGGAGAAAAAGAAATAAAAGAAAGAAGCTAGAAAAGGAGATTTTATGCCCTTACCAAAACAGTCTCGTTTGGGAGACGCAACCGGGTTTCATCCTTTAGGGAAATCACGTTTCAATCCCTTACAACTTCTCTAGAAATCAATCTCATCCTTTACACTTTATTTTATATTAATTTGTTCAATAAACTTTTCATTTTGTTTATTTTAGTCATATCTCTTCATTTAATTACTTCATTTATTTTAGGCTTAAATATACAAAAGGTGCCCAATCTATACTCGTTTTTCCAGTTCAGTGCCTAACGGTTTTTTCGTTCCAGTTTGATGCCTAATGTTTCATTTTGTAACTGAAAATGGGTCACGCCGTGACAGACCGTTAAGTTTGACCGTTAACCCATTAAAAATGCCACATGGCATTTTTTTATATTAAAAAATATTTTATGCAAATAAAAAATAAATTAAAATGAAAAAAATCGTTTTAATGGGGAAAACCAATTACCCAGGCTAGTCGAATGAACCAGAACCCCCTCGATTTTATGTGTTTTCGCCCTCTGATCAGGATTCTCTGACCGTCGTGGAAGTGCTCCGTCACCGCTAACGGCCTCAGCAGCGACTAGCGACCCAACCCCGACACTCTAATCGCCTGATTTGGCCGTTGTCGCATCTTAATCGCAAAGAGAGCTTTCGACTACCAATCGTCGATCCGCCCGTCCGGTCACCATTGAAGTATACCACCCACCCTGGTAAAACCACAGCTTCGCTCTAATCGCAACCCAGTCGATCACTCGCCGATTGGTCGCGTCATTCACCGGAACCGAGTAATTAAAGTTTTGTTGAGAACCTTGTCCGACTAGTTGTTTCTGATAGATTATTTTTTTCATTTTAATTATTTTTTATTTGTGATTGCTATCTATGGTTCCAACTTCTGGCTTTGCTAACACTTAATTTGGGTTTTCTGTTTCATTTATTTTTTAATTAGAGTTTGAGCTTGAGCTTGTTTTATCCTTGTTCAATTGCTAGATCTTGTGTGTGTTCGAGTGTGAAATTGTATTGTGTTCTGTCAGGGTGAAACGCCACACGATTTCAGTGTTAGTTGGGGATGAGAGTGGAATCATAAACATGATAGCATGAGTGTTTGCCCGAAGTGGATATAACGTCGAGTCCCTTGCTGTTGATCTCAACAAGGACAAGGCTCTGTTTACTATCGCCGTCTCTGAGACTGAAATGGTTCTCTGAAAAGTGGTTAAGCAACTGAACTAGGGTTGGGCTGTGGTGGAGAGTGAAGGAGAAAGGGAAAAATTATTTAGGGTTAAACGATAAAAGGCATTAAAACGTTTATTTTTTCATTTTAATTTATTTTTTTCAAAAATTATTTTTTAATATTAAAAAGTATGCCATGTGGCATTTTTAATGGGTTAACGACCAAACTTAATGGCCAGTCACGACGTGACCCATTTTGAGTTACGGAATGAAACGTTAGGCACCAAACTGGAACGAAAAAAACGTTAGGCACTGAACTAAAATCATAGGTATAGTTTGGGCACCTTTTGTATACTTAAGCCTTTATTTTATTTCAAATTCTTAATTTACATAATATGTTAATCTAATAATTTTTTTTTGTTATTTTCAAGTTTCTTCTTGTTAAGACCACATATGTTTTATAATTTTAATTCATTTATTTTTTTTCAATTTCTTGTATTTCATTTGCTTATTCCTTGTTAAATTTGCTTCATTCTCGTTAATTTGTCTCAATTTGTCTCAATTTATTTCAATTTGTTTTTCTATTTTTATTGGAATCTTTAATCCTTCCCTTGATTTCATCTAGTTGACTTTTCACTTACTCATTCAATATTTAATATTTATTTTGTTTCTAAGTTGATCTATTATTCTTGATTTTTGTTTATATATGTTATTTTATTTATTTATTATTTCTTACCAATAGTCTACTCTTTTAATCTTTTTTAGAATTTTATGATAGGTGAGTGAATTTCTTTTCTCCATAATTTTTTATAATGAAATTTTTTATTAATAATATTTCATATATTTATTTACTATTTTTTAGGTGTAATTGAAATTTATTTTCTTAAAGGATCATAAATTAAATTAACCATTTGAGTTCATTTTCTCAAGACAACAATATAACTAATCATGTATACAATATAACCGATCAGGTACCGAAAGGGCATTGTGGGGGTGTTAATCCTTCCCCACAAGTAATCGATTTCCGAATATGTTTCTCTGGTAAGTAGACTTCATTTTGTTATTTTAATTTTATTAAACTAAGAATTTTTTGGGTGATCAAGTCACACCCTAAAAAAGATTGGTAGTGGCTCCCTTGAACCATGATTTAATACATATTCGAAGAGAAATTTTAAGGGAGGATCCATATCTCGTTTTAAAGATGTTCTGATGTTAACCTATTCATATAGTCATGTCTCTTGAGTTACCTCTATAACCAATTGTATTAGCGGAATAACTCTAGCTTTATTATACTTATCATATGATGATAATTCATTAACCCCTTGAGTATTTGGGTTTAATATTTTTTAAGCTCATTGAGAAGAGCTTGTTATAGTATGAGTGTCATTGAATTGTTAGAGTATGCCCAAAGACCAATCATGTGATGATTGTATTGATATACTTTCTTTACCAGATTTATTGAATAAAGGCATTACCATTATTTATTTAGTTATATTTATGTATAGTAAAAACCTAAAAGATAATAATGTCCATATAATAATATGATTACTATTGAAAGGTCCTTAGTAAAGTATTATCATAGGTATGGTCAATAATAATATGTTTAAGGCTTACATGTTGTTGATTGATGACAATGAGTTGTCATTGATATAGAGATGTCAAAATCAATGCATGAGTATGTTGTTAGAGAACAATATATTGGATTGACCTGAGCATATGTCTTGGATTATTATGTGACGGTCACGACATTGCTCATGGTGGTGACTACATGTATGATCCTCAGACTTAAGATAATTTTATCTCAAAATATATTGTCGTTTGTTTTGATATAGTCAAACTTGCTTCGTAACTGGTTGCAATATAAAAACTGATGTTGAACATATCACAATATATGTAGTGGGGTGTGAATGATCAAGATAACATTTTTCCCTCTTACATAATATGAGTTATATCACAGGCCATTTGATTGTGTGATACTAGAAATGCATGACCATGCTCGAAAAAGTTGATATGAGATGTCATAAGTTGTCCGTTTATTATAGTCTACTCTAGATATCAAGAATCATTAGATGTATTATACAAAGTGTGACTATTCCAGGACTTGTGCCTATTCTAGATATAAAGGACAAAATGATATAATACATAAATGAGTTAGTCACGAAGAGGTTATGTCGAATCATGACTTATTGTAACTTAGACAACAATTATATATTACTAGATGTCACTCATTGTTTGTAATATTAGAATGGTTCTAATATTACAACTAACGTTATAGGACCTACAGGATCACATCGCAGGGGTGAGATGAGCAAATAATAAATGAGTTATACATGTACAATTTTATTGTACATGAATAAAATGTATGATTGGCATTAATATATATATATATAATATTAATTATACTTAACATGCTAAATAAAATATTAAAAGGATATAACTAGAGTAATTATATTTCTTTTAATAAAATTCAAAATTAAACCCTAAGGGTTAGGGTAACAACATTATAAAAAGAAAAGAATTGCCTAGAAGCCATTTTTTTACTCTTTACACATTTTCCTCAAAACAGTTTTAGGAAAAGAACAAATTTGCTCTTAACTTGGTGAACTGAGTTGAGGCCGAGACATTTTTTTTAGAGGCTTAGGATTCAATATGTTCATGAAAGGATTGTTGATTTGCTGTTATTCCAGGAACCCGAGGTGAATTTCACATCCTTTCCTCCCGATTCAATTTTTCGTACATAGATCACTGGTGAGATTGTCAGATAATTTTTATGCTACACCAGGGGTTATATCGAAGATCCCACCAGTGGTATTTATCGAAGATCCCACCAGTGGTATTAGAGCCAATTGTACGATGAGGATTCAAGTTAAAAACCTGATTGATGTGTTAATTGTTAACATGATAAACATGTGGCTATGATAGCAGATCATTTTCGACAATAAATAATGGTTGTTCTAGTGTGAAAAACCTTAGGGATTAAAAATCCTAAAAACACAATTTTGTTGATAAAAGTTACTAAATCATGAGATTTTTCCACAGAAACAATGAGTGATGTTTTCAAAAATTCTCAGGCGGTGACCAGGTTAGGGGCTGCAAAGGGCTTCACCCCTTGACCCCTATATAGGCAATAAAGGTTATAGGCTCATATCGGTAATTATTAATAAATTTGTAATGAAATATGTATGATATGTTTGATATGCACGGTGTTTGACATGCATGGTTATAGCCCTTTATTTGTAATGGTTGTGAATTATAAATACGACCTGTGTGTCGTGCGTTTCTATACTTATATTTTATTTCTCTTCTCATCTTACTCCCTTGTATGTAAAATGAGTTTTTAAAATTGTAATCATGTGAAGATTCAAAAGAGCAAAAGAATGGAATGACTAAAGTGACAAGATGCTTGAGAAGCCATCTTTATCTTTAGCATTTATAGTTCTCCCATTGGTTTGGGATATGCCACCTTAGTTCTTTATTTGGTCTATAACCATTGTATTTTATTTACTACTTTATATATATCATGTATGTGATGCAATGGATGATATGTTAACATGCTAATAAATTGACAAGATCAATAAAGGCCTAATATTAAAAAAAATAACATTGATGTGATAATAATGAAAATCCCTCTATAAAATCCAATTTAATCTAACCATCCAATATATATATCCTCGTTAAGACCTCGATTGATATCATATGGGTTGTCAATGTATTGCATATAAATCTATCTTGGTTAAATGAAAAGAATAAGCAAGTGATATACGCCGGTTGAAATATTGGTAATAACTTAGCT